ACAAGAGGCATACGAGAACTTATAACATAGATATGACAACATCCCATCTATTGAGTTTTTTATGTGTTTATTTATTCCAATCAGTGCCATGTCAGTTGTTCCAAGAAGGCGTCATTCACATTGCTTGTCCCGCATTAAATACTTTGGATCTGGTTTCTTATATAAATAGCAGTGACTGATAAAAGGAGTTCTACACCTTGTTCTCCTTTAACACGAACTTCTTTAACACGAACTCTGTCTAGCAAGATTATACATTTGTTTCCTTCCCCCCTTTAACACGCTGAAAACCTCGTATAAGCCATGGATTCGGATATTATTTGCAGTTTCATTTCGGATTTCGGATACAACTAAAACATACTCATCGATGTAATTGGGAAGAAATATTAGATTGTGCTTGAAGAAAAAGGCATGTATAAAGAATTATTATTTGCAATTATTCTTCATAAAGAGGGCGCAATTCAAAATCAGATGGCAGCAACTCTGAAGAAACTGAACATATAAATCGCTTAGTTATATAAAAACTTCAAGAACGATTTGCATATGTTAGACAAGACCATTGCAGTTGTACAGAGAATTAGCTAAAATAAACATATTTTGTGTGATATAGAAGCCATTAAGTAATTGAAAAACACTTTCTTTCTTTCATTAGGTTATATACCAAGGCGCCCAAAAGGTTTTTACATTTTGTATTAAGTTGCTTTTACATTTTTTCCGTTTAAAAAACATTTTTCTTTTTAATACGATTATTCTGTTGATGGAGTAACTTTGTGTTTATTTTGACAAACAGCGAAAATTTAAACAGCAAAACTTTTTTTTGTGTATTTGTCGAAATCTGGGAAGGTAACTCCACACGTTGTATGTCCATGTCTCATTTAAAACGATTTCTCTTAACACGTTGCGTTCCTAGAAAACCTCGAGGGCTATGTGTAATGTCGAAATTGTTATTATGGCATTTCAAAAAAGCGAAACAAAGTCATAAAATGCATCACGCGCGATTTAAATATTTAGTTTTTTTCTCGCAGAACTTCCAAAGGATACTTTTTTCTTTTATTTGCATGTTTTGATTAAGAATGTTCGGTCGCAAATTGTGTAGAGGGTATTCATGCGTCGTTGAGGCCAGGGAAATACTTTTATTTTTGTATTTTTTACAACTGCATTAAAGCGCGCACATCACGCATACGTCATGTGGTCGCGCTGTAAAAACGCTTCAGCCTGAAAGTATGCAATATATATTTCATTGCCTTTCATATTCAAGCCGAAGTGTAACGAATGGAAGAGGTAGTGGCTGTCAAAGGCAAAAGCGGAAGCGGAAGCAAACGTAATGTGCAGCATAAAGAGATCAATTAGATTGAGAATGCTTAGTCGAAAATGCAAAAACTATTTATACATGATGCTGTCAGTGCTAGCACGGACGAAGAGATGGACGGAGAGCGAAAGTAAATGATTGATAAAAAGATAAATAGCAGCAAAGTTGGAGTGCCTGTGGGGCCTTCTTTCGGACAGACTGGACAATTGCTGCATAACATTTCATATTAAACTGCTAAAAATCAAAGAGTTCTATGCATGGATTGCGCTCAGTTTGTGTTTGTCAGTTTGTCTGACTAACTGACTGGTGGAGCATGAAGAAATGCGTGCTCTGTCTATCCATATGTTGTAGATGTACATATACAGGGTGCGCCATCTTTTATGTCGGTATGTAAACATTGAATATCTTTGAAAATAAACAACCGATTTTCAAGTATGAGATATTATTATTTAATTTGGTTCTGTGCAATTTCTTCAGAGTAATTTTTGAAAACAACATCAATCAAGTGGCCGCCTTTATTGGACACAGCAAAATGTGCCCTTTACATACCGACATAAAAGATGGCGCACCCTGTATTTCTACATACATTATGTACAAGTATACATATTTACACACACCTGTACGAGGTTACCAACATATATGTACATATATACAAGTATAGCATACTTGTACGTCTTGTATATTTTTGTGGGTGCATGCACTTTGTAGATATTTAAATTGCAAAATCCTCTTGCTGCATCTATGAAATACAATTTGTTAGCAACTGCAGACCCAATAGCAGTATAAGGGCCCTGCAGCACGTAAAACATAAGCCGCTCCTCATAACCGTAAACAATTGAAAACTGCCACAGCAGCAGTGCAACATAGACATGGACATGGGTATGGGCATAGACATGGACATGGACATGGTGCTCCAGCTTCTCTCTCTCTCTCAACATGCATGTGTGTCATATTTTAATTGTTGCAACCGAGCATCACATCACCTCCCCGCCAGTCTGTTTGTCTATTGTCTTGCCCTCGCTTTCATTTGCCAAGGTTGCAGCTTAGCAGGGCTTCAAGCAACAAAGCAAGTGGCTAAGAAAAGTGAAAGAATATTATATGAAACAGCTATGCTATGGAATTTGGTCCGAACTGCACTTAACTAAACTGGACAATGGCCAAGTCAACCAAGCCTTCCACAATTAAGTTGCTTTTTGAACTGTATAGAGTTCATACATAAAACGCAAGTGTGGCAAAAGTTGCTTAAACGATGTAGTCAGTATGTGTAGGGAATCTGTAACCAATACTACTATTCATTCTTAAAACAACATATAATATCAAAATAAATATCTTTTAAAATCAAACAAATAATCAAGATATTATTTATACTATTTTACAAGCTTGTTTGAGAAAAAACACTAATCAGTTGCCACAACAAAAAAAGGAAAAATTAAAAAATTAAAAATAAATTAGAAATAATATAAAAATCTTTAATAAGATATTCAAAATCATTTGAACTCTGTTTTACATTCTTTTCAATTTGCTTTATTATTATGGTTTTTATATCAATTCTTTTGTCAGTAGATTTAATTAAGAGTCAAATAAATTGAAATTGCTTCTCTATAAACGAAATTTTCTCCCTACATAATACATCTAATAATAATTTATAATTTATCAGCACCACCATCTAAATGAATTGATTTAAACAAAAAAAAAATTGACATCATGTCCCCTCAGCAACAGCTGACTGTCGACGACAACATTTGACTTACTAATTGTGCTTAAATTCTTTAACGTACTAAGTTAAATAAAAAACAAATATGCTGTTCGCATTAATACTAGCCAGCGAGAATTTCCGGAAAAATCAATTAAATGTATAAAGAATTAGGCTCATTAAATTTATTTGTAACTTTTTTAAATACATTTCTAGCATTGGAAAAAGTACTTGCATCTTGTTTCGCTGGTATTGTATATTTAAGTGGCAGTTTATTACCAGACAATTTTTGCCAAGTTTGTTTAATTAATACACAGTTTGGTACTTATTTTAAACAAGAATTGCGTCTTTTAAATATTTCATCTTTAATTTTCGTTTGACTCACAAAATAAGACTTAACTCAGTAAAATTTGAAGTTTGAAAAATGTAATTTTTTATTTGGGCCCAGTAGGCATCTCTACTGTGTGCGAATTCTAGTGTTTTGAAAAACTACAAGGTTTACATATGATTATTTTTATGTCTAAAAATATCTTTGTCAGTGGCACCGAGAATTGGTTTTGAGGCGAAACGTGGGCGAAAGGGATTTCTGATAAATGACCAAGAACCAACAGTGTTGTTATAAGTATTATATTTCTTTGGATAGTTTATTTTATTTTAAACAGACATTGCTGGAGGCAATCGATCTTGTGCAGGCCGTTCGCTGAATTCTTAGCATTCACAACAAGAATTTTGAATTTGGTTTCTTTGGTTTTCTTCGTTAGGAATATGCTTCAATTGCTTAACACTCGCCTCCTCTCGTCTTTTGCGAAAATTACGAAGCTTCTGTTGTGCCCTTGCTGTCAAATGTTTGCCAGCGACCAGCGCTGTTTTAAGCTCAATCTTCATGTTCTCCAGAACGCCAACAGAAACTTCCTTCAGCACCTGCAGAACGCTGTTGGGGTCCGTTATTTGCAAGGCTAGATCATGATTTTGAGTGTAAATGAACGTCTGAACCAAAAACACGGCCAATACGGTTGTGGCAAGCCACAATAGGGAAGTCATTGCTCAGAACAATGAGCGCGAGTTGTCTCTTGAGTGAAATATTATTTAAGACAAATTTCAAATTATTTTTTGTGTGATTGTGGCTTTGACTTTGAATAGTGTTCAAAATGCTGCTATCTTACAAATTGTATTTAAACTACTATTTGCTATGAGTTAAATTATTAAACATGTAATAAAGCCATATAATACTATTAGCACTAGAGATTTGTCCCGAAAAAAAATTTAAAATTTCGTTTGTAGATTTGCTGGAAATATCCAAATTCCTATGATCAGCTTATCAATGTATTTAGATGCTGCAGCCCGAATACATTATTGTTACACGTGTATAGAATCGACAAAAGGATGAAAAATGGTAGTTCTATTCCCGATTTAACATACTTTGGAACATTTTTTCTATACGACTTGTAACACGTTGAGTTTCTTCAGCTTACTTTTATCCAACGTTTACTGTGTTGCATCAAAAGAAACACACACAACTATATTCGGTTTTGAGTAACGTAATTGTTCAAATAATTGTATATAATACATACATAAATCGGTTCAGAAATGACGACAACTTTTCACTAAAGTAATGTGCAGGTGAGAAACTATTAAAATGTTGACATATCGTACTCGTTTGAAACTTATTCAATAAACAAAAAATTGTGTGATTATTGGCTAATGTGCATTTGGCTTTGAAAGAGTTGCTAGAAAATGGTTATCGCTCTCGGTTATGAGTATAATATTCGCTGGAAATTCGTTAGAAAACCCGCAAAAAAATGCCCATAAAACAATTTTAATTAGCTAGAGACAAAGTAGAAAATCTGAAGTCAAGACATTTTGCATCCATACTATATATCATATGCTTTCAACTCATTTGGGTCAGCTGGTGTAACATTTAAGTAAAAAGAAAACTCATTCATTTCAATAATATCGTTTGAAATACAAGTAGTTCAGAAGTGTACAAAAATAAGTCGCAACATGTTCAACTTCTGCCTATCGCCCTTCAGCGCCAATGGCCATCTCTTGCAGGTGGAGTACGCCACGGTGGCCGCCTCTAAAGGTGAGACTAGCGTCGGAATTCGGACCTGCGACGGAGTCGTGATTGCGACAGAACGCCGGTTCCAGCTTGGGCTCGTTGACGAAGCGACATTGCAAAATGCGAAGAAGGTGAGTGAAAACATTGGCATTACCTATTCTGGACTGGAGCCGGACTTCCGGGTGCTGGTGGATCGTGCACGCAAATATGCTGAGGTCTACCGAGTCAAATACGATGAACTGATGCCAGCCTTCGAGCTGGTGAAGCAGATGGGGACTCTTTTGCAGGAGTACACGCAGTCGTGCGGAGTGCGACCCTTCGGAGTGTTCCTGCTATATGCCGGATGGGAATCTGGTGGACCATTTTTGTACAGAACCGATCCTTCAGGCGCATATTGTGCCTTAAATGCAGCAGCATTCGGAAAGAACGCCGCTATTGAGAATGAGTTTTTGAAGTGTCAGGCTTGTGACGAAATGAAGCTGGACGTTGCTGTCTGCACTGCCATTATGGCTCTCAAGAAGGGCTTCAAGGGGAACTTGTCTAAGCACGACATTGAAGTTGGCGTCTGCCATGAAAACGGCTTCTCATTACTGGATGCTAACACCATCTCCCCACAAGAGCCCTTGTATAAAATATATAGTATATATCATAAAATATAATCATTTTTCATGTAAAACATTGTAAATATTGTATATATGTACATAGATATAAGTGCGTCCTATAGATACTTACTATAGACAACTTTTGTATTCCCTAACTTTCAACTAGCTTAAGCTGCCATATTGGTAGTAGAAAACTAGTTTAATAAATTGTATATAAGTAAAAAAAAAAAAAAAAAAGCTCGTGTTTTTCCTATTTTACTATATTCTGCGACACAGATTACATTTCTAAAATACATACATCCATTGTTTGAATATATCTTCAACATATTTTCTTCGGCTTCGCCGCGGGAACTGAGTCTGGGAATGCACAGGAATTTATTTTTTTTATCTATTTTTGAATTTTGTTCTAAAAATTCGCACCCTTAATTGTTTATTTCATCATAATTCTAATAATTCTATAACCCCAAATGTATCTCTGTCCATGATCTGCCAGCAGGTGTTGTGCTTGAGACTTTGGCTCAACTTTGGACTGACCACAACTCATTTGAATTGCGTAATTAATATATATATTATTTTTTTATTTACAATCAATTTTTTGAGGATTTTCGATTTTTTAAAAGTCCATATTAGGTGTTTCTATTAGACTGTGTGCCTGCAGCAATACAAAATTTGACCGCCACGATAATATAAGGATCAGACCTGAAAAATAATGTAGTGGCTACTTGGTAAGAAATTCCAAATTCAACTCTGATTCATTCACAATTCATTGTGCATACTAGAGTTTATTTGGGTGAGGAATTTTGGAATGCGACATCGAAGACGCTGCATGTACGAGTCTGCAGTTTGTGAGTACAATGGAGAGGCAGGATATTCACATTCGAATGGAACAAACACAATCACCAGCCATGACATATGGCCGACCACTCTTGGCCATAACTTCGCACAATTTGCTTAATTGAATTTATGAAATACTCGTAATAGCCACGTTCATGTAACTGGAACTCGAATTAAAACTGAAATTCATTTTGTGGTTCTGAAACAGCAACAGCAAGGAGCCAACCAACACTATGTGTGTGCGTGTGTTTGTGTTGATGTGTGTGTGTGTGTGTGTGTGTGTGTGTGTGTGTGTAATGCAAACGTGTCATTAAACACTTAAGGGCACATCAAATGAGCTGGGCACGCAGAATGCGGCAATTGCTGATAGTGGTGGCTGTGGCGCTGGCGGTTACAACGCCGATCCAAGCAGGAGGCGGTAGCAGCCTAATGGGGCGGGGCGGGGCGGATCTGGGCTGGTCTGGGCGGAGCTGGGATGTCGGACTTGAAGTGGTGAGCGGTTTGTGCCCTGTTGTTGCCATAAAACCGCCAAAGCACAAACTGTCAATCATGAGCATTTAACATGAAATGCCAACGAAAACAATTAAGCATGATTACAGCAACAACACGGCGAGCAACAGCCACCCAACAATTAGATGTTTATGTAAATTATTTATACATATATACTATTTGTATGTATGTACATGGCATAATACACGGGGCGCAGAAGGCCGCGTCACTTCGGTCGACTGGGCCGCATTTGCATAAGTAGACAAACAGTGGGGGTGGGCGGTGGGCGGTGGTCGGTGGGTGGCGTGGTTAGATGCGGCTGGACGAGTGTAAGCAGACAACAACAGACAAAGTCGTCATCATCACCACCATCATCGTCGTCGTCGTTGTCGTCGTCGTCCTCATCACCATCACCATCACCTCCATCTTCGTCTCGTTGGCCTGGCTACAATCGCAGCGGCCGTAATTAGTAGCAATTACAACAAAAACAGTTACAGCAGTAGCAACAAGAACGCCAAAAGCAGCTAGCAACGCAAACACTCGTACATACATATAGCAATAAATTTCACGCCAAAGCGATGGGCATTAACTAATTAATTGTGTTAAGCAAGCCGCAAAAACAACAAACAACTGAAGCAGCCATCCAACCGACATCCCGACCAACAACCCAACCACAAAATGCCCGTCAATTGGTCGCTCATTAAAATTTGTCATTTTTGTTGATATAGATGTTGTTGCTTTTGCTTTTGCTGTTGTTTTTGTTTTTGTTTTTGATTTGGTTTTTGTTGCTACTCTGCCTATTGACGCTATTTGTTAATGTGTCTGTCTGCAAGCAACATGAACAACATCAACATCACCGCTCGCTCCTGCTATTCTTGATAATTTCCACTTTTAAATTGATGTCTGACATTTGGTGTTTGTTCAATTCACCGAAATGTCACTCGTGACATGAGTGAGGTGGCACGCACGCACGCACGCACGCACACTCACAATCACGCGTTTCCACAGTTTAAATGTAGTTTATGAATTTGCATTCAATTTTTGCTTAATTAATTAAAGTACATCAAAGAAGTATTAAAGAAATATCAGCTCGTAAATATGCAAGTATTATCTCATCATCAAATATGAGCATTTTCCAATGCCAAATATTTAACCCATTCTTGGGTGTTTTTATTGGTGGAGGCACGCTCTCTCATGCTATTGGTCGGAAAACCCATAGCTGGCACTCAAGTGGTATGTATTAGTTGCCCAAAAACAAGCAACACTGTTTTTAACTTTTAATTTATCTCTGTTTTTATTCTGAGAAAAAATTTGACGAAATGTTTTGTTTTACAAATGTTGTCCAATGTCCGTTTAAAGAAATAAAAAATGTGAAATGGGAAGCAAGGGAAAGGGAGTTTACACTGCTTCGGGCACTACATTTAGGGAAGATGAACGAAACCAACCAGAGGTCAGAATAATGTTTTGGTCATGCCAAAATCCTGAGAGAAATGACACTATCCCCTCAGTCACTGACTACTGCATCCCCGAAGAGTATCCCCACACTCCCTTTGATACTGTCATTCGCTCTAGCGAAGAGGAGGAAACTGTAACCCACCTCTTCTGTGACTTCCCAGTCCTGTCAAGGACAAGACAACGCTTTCTAGAAGCTAGCCTCTTCCCAAGTCTATCGGCACTAGCAAACAGAAAGCCGATAGACATTTTCAAATTCATCCAGGCAGCTCTATGGATGGATGAGTCAGGGCTTACACCCTGGCTGCCGTACCTACCTATCTACCTACCCAATAAAAAAGCAAATTAATTATCAATATTCATAATAATTACATGATGTCAATTTTGTTTTCAGTCCGAAGAAAATATGTTGAGATACATTCAAACAATGGATGTATGTATTTTAGAAATGTACCTAGCGAGCAAGCAGAATACGAGTATATAAACAAGAATGAAATGCTGGAGAACAAAGACAGACAGACAGACAGACAGACAGACAGACAGCATTATTAAACCTGTGCTGCTATACTGCTTAGCAAAGAACCGAATTTGAATTCCCTTCACTCCAAATGAATGCACACATTTATATTTTTGAATAACGAAACTTTATTTATTGAGTGCATTTTGAATTTTTGGTTTTATGGTTTTATTTATGTTTTAAATTTTGTTGGCTTGCTGTGTCGCAGAATATAGTAAAAAACGAAAAACACGAGCAAGAACAAGAACCTACTTGTATTATTTCAATCAAAAAGCGTGTTCAAGTGTATTTCGATGGTGTTAGCATCCAGTAATGAGAAGCCGTTTTCATGGCAGACGCCAACTTCAATGTCGTGCTTAGACAAGTTCCCCTTGAAGCCCTTCTTGAGAGCCATAATGGCAGTGCAGACAGCAACGTCCAGCTTCATTTCGTCACAAGCCTGACACTTCAAAAACTCATTCGCGATAGCGGCGTTCTTTCCGAATGCTGCTGCATTTAAGGCACAATATGCGCCTGAAGGATCGGTTCTGTACAAAAATGGTCCACCAGATTCCCATCCGGCATATAGCAGGAACATTCCGAAGGGTCGCACTCCGCACGACTGCGTGTACTCCTGCAAAAGAGTCCCCATCTGCTTCACCAGCTCGAAGGCTGGCATCAGTTCATCGTATTTGACTCGGTAGACCTCAGCATATTTGCGTGCACGATCCACCAGCACCCGGAAGTCCGGCTCCAGTCCAGAATAGGTAATGCCAATGTTTTCACTCACCTTCTTCGCATTTTGCAATGTCGCTTCGTCAACGAGCCCAAGCTGGAACCGGCGCTCTGTCGCAATCACGACTCCGTCGCAGGCCCGAATTCCGACGCTAGTCTCACCTTTAGAGGCGGCCACCGTGGCGTACTCCACCTGCAAGAGATAGCCATTGGCGCTGAAGGGCGATAGGCAGAAATTTTGTACACTTCTGAACTACTTGTATTTCAAACGATATTATTGAAATGAATGAGTTTTCTTTTTACTTAAATGTTACACCAGCTGACCCAAATGAGTTGAAAGCATATGCTTTATAGTATGGATGCAAAACGTCTTGAAAGTCACGTAGTAAGTTGCACAAAGTATCTAATATATTATCATGATCAGTATTATTTTAGATTTTATCTATACTATGTACTACAGGGGCTTACTGCATACAAGGAGATTTTAATTTCTTGGCTGTGGCTTTATATCCTTTGCAAAGGCAAAGTACAAGTACATGAATATGGGCAGACAGCAAACATGGAATCAAAACTTTGTGATTTAATGATTTCAAAAACTATGTCAAAATGTCTCATAATCTGGAAGACTCAATGTCTTTGATACTTAATTCCAGAGACTCGCAGACAACAGATAGTATTTAACAACTTGTATTCGAATTAAAAGTCATTTTGTTGAATTTGTCGAAGCAGTGGTGCTATGTATGTCGGAGGCCAACTGCAGTTTGTTGCATTGTTGGCTAAACATTACGTTAATGGGAAGTCCATTAGGAATTTATGTATATTTCACAAAGTTGTCTGTCCGCTACAGTCCGATGCTAAACAACAACAACAACAACAACAACAAACAGCTAATCAACAAGTTGAAAGTCCTTCCGAAACTCACCAAACAGATAGCTGCTTAAATGCTTTACATCATTAAACATTTCGTTTAGTTGAGCGCCTGTTTCCCGACCCTGTTTGTCTCAGCAGCTGCAGGGCGGCAATGAAAAACAATCATTAATTCCGCTGCTCTATAGCCCTCAGCTTACTTGGCTTACCTTCCTGCTGACGCCTGTTGGAGCATTAAAATGAGCAACTCCCCCACTCCTGTTCGCTCGGAAACTCAAACAGCGCTCGTAAATTCAACTAAATATCATGAACACAATGTAAATTTTAAGTTAAAATCACATTAATCATTTTTCGCACAGCAAGTTAGCAAGAAAAGGGTGCACGGCATACAAGCCCTTCTCCACCGTCCCTCCCCATTCGCCTAGCGTTCCATTAATGTGTGTGTGTATGTGTGTGTGTGTGTGTGTGTGTGTGTGTGCGTGTCCGTAACTATGCCATATAAAATGAAGTGGGTAGCATATACGTACACAGCATGCAGCATGGAACATGTAGCATGGGGCATGAAGCATTAAGCTAGGAAGCTTGAGCTTGAAAACTGGGGCCGTAAAGCGTACAGACAAGAGACTTTGCGACAACTTTGGCAACAGGACATACGGACACACGGACACACGGACATACGGACGTTGGCACTTCACATTCCCAGACATTGCCAGCACACGATTTGATTATGTATGTATGAAGCTAAGGACGAGCAACGAGAGGCATGTAAAAGTAGAACTGATTGTCGGCCATGCCTGGCGTCCTTTTACTTAGGCCCATGATGTTCGTCCGTTTTTGTGCAAAAAAAAAACAAAAACAAAAACAAAAACTTTACTTTGACAATTGTCGGTAACTTTATTGCTGGCTACATCTTAAAATGAGAGAAGGAATGCCACCACCGTATAATTTGGCAATTCAAGTTGCATTAATCATCAACTTGTTGGCGGCCCTTCTCCTTTTATTGACTGTCCACCACCTTGGCTACTGCGACATCAGCCCCATCAACTCCTATCCTCCCGCTCCATCTCAATCCGTTCTTGAAGCACCTGTGCGACTAACGCGCTTCTAATAGACTGACTATTCATGCACAGGTCCAGTCAGTTGGGTTTTTGCGTTGCGTTTTGCGGTACGGCCGGTTATAAATTATCAGCGTCTGACTCTCAGTTTGTATTGTCACTGCGTGCTGTGGCTGCGGACTATATGGAGTGGATAGTGGACACTGGACAGTGGACAGTAGACAGTACACAGAGGGGACTGTCCATTGCCGACTGCCGACTCCCGACTTCCGAGTTCCGACTGCTAACTGCGTTTTGGGTGCGGTTTAAGTAGCATGCGGCCGAGACCGCCATAAACGTCTGATACGAGGCGAGTGTCTGCCCTCTGGTGTCTGTGTGTTTCTGTGTGAGTGTTCGTGCGTGCCTGTAGTTGCAATAAAACCGCAAAAGCTCATAAATGAAACCACAAAGTCACTCTAAGTGCATGCCACATAAATTCTACAAATAACGCGCACACAGACCAAAAAAACACAGAAACACATTTACATATAAATATGCACAG